ACTGTGGTAAACAGCTTTGTTGTTATTTTTCCTTTCAAAGAATTTCAAAGCTTTCTTCTCTGTTCTTCTACCTTTATTTTTCTACTTGAGTTGAATTTCAATTCATCAAACTCTGAGAAAAACAAACAAAAAAGAACCATTGAGATTCTGATTGAAATTGCATTAAATTTATATATTAAATGGGGAGATTTGACATCTTACAAAATTGAATCTTCTCATCTACAAACAATGTAACTCTCTCCATTTATTTAGGTTTTGTGTTTTGGTCTTCAATCAGATTTTAATTAAGTTGAGGCTTAGGCATTGATTTTTCTAGCTTTTCCCCCATGTTTGAGACTGGCCGTCTTCCTCAAAACAGGTAGAGGCAGCTTTGGAATTTCATTAAACACCTTGAGATACATTCTCTTTTAGGTCATCCAGACAGTCCTGTGAGGTAAGATCAAACCTTTCCATCTTACAGATGAGTAATTTAAAAGGAAGGGAGGAATGGATCAGACATTCCTATATTGGATATAAAAATATATCCAATATATTTTTATTGAATCTAAAGTAGGCCTATTATCCCTACTTTGAAAATGAGGAAACTGAGTCCAAGAGGTTAGGTGACATGGCCATGGCATACAGTAAACTAAGACATAGGGCTCAAACCCAGGACTTGGGATTCCCAGTCAGATATTCTAATGGCCAGTGGCCGCTTCTTCCCCCTGGTGCTCTCTCATACTCTCTGTGCTTGTCATTTGTCTCAGGGAAGGTGACCTGAGACCAACTGGTCTATTTCTTAGGGCAGGCTGCCATTCCCTAGTCTAGTTTCTGGACCTGACTGAGTGGCTCTGCACAATGCGGCCATTTCCATATGCCGGGGATAGTGGCTTGGTTAATTCTGTTGCTGTCGAATATGGCCTGGCTGCCTGGCTGCCTGGTTATAGAGAGTGCCTGGGAGGATGTCCAGGAGAGGAGGAAGCCTAGCAGAAGCCAAACAAATCTCTTGTACACCCAAGCCTTGCTGTTTTGTTATCTGACTGCTAGGGTTGAGAAACCCCATCACCAAGTCAAGGTGTCAGATTCATTACTACGTGACCCAAGGCAGCTAGTAAGGGATAAGAATCAGAGTGAGCAAGAGGAGGAGCCTGACCCGGAGCTGCCCCTCCACTGGTACTCTCAGCTAGAAAAGACCTGCTCTCCCAGCAGCAGCCGCCTTTGCCATCAGCCTTTGCTATATTTTTCTTGGATTTGTGCATCGATCTTCCTTTATTTATCATTCACCCCTTGTCCTTTTGCAGAAACAGGACATCAAATACTTGCTTTTCTTGTTTTTCCACTGTAGCCACTTGGGTGCAGAGGCAGAACTTTAACCTTATCTTCCTGATTTTGTGTCTGTATATGTGAATATATGTGCACGCATTGCCTCTCTTGTATCTTGGTGGGATGAATTGTAGTCCAGAATCTGGGCTCTTGGAGAGATCCCTGGAGGCCAACTACCCCGGCCTCTGCTTCTGGGCAGGTTTATATCTGAATGGAGCCAAGGGACTCCTGAATATCCTTGGGGGCATCCAGAGGGTTGGAAGAGAAACCGAGTGAGTAGGGTCTCTAGGTGCTGGGCAGTCTGTGTTCACTTGAAGCACCTGTTACATATATTGAGACTTTGAGTTATATTTCACTGGTTAGAAATGCTTTGCTCTTAAGAGTAAAAGACTGAAATTACTGGTCTGTGCCACATAGATGGGACTCATGTTCTCTTTTGAAAGAATATCAGAAATGAAAATTTAAGCCCATTCTGCTTGCTTTCCTAGATTGTGTAGGGCACAATAATTTGGAAAAGAGGCAGGTCTGAGTGTGAAGATACTGGAAGTAGGATTTATTTCTTTGAAACTCAGCAGGTACCTATCCCATCAGGGTGTTGCATTTCCCAACCCCACAATGGTACCTTCTGGAGTTGAGCTATGAAATGGCCTCATGTGGCCCTATGCATCACCTTGCACTTAACAGGGATGCAGGGTGATAAGACAGAGAAAGTTCAGATCTCCTGCCCCAGAGTGAATTACAGTCTATTTAAGGAAAGAGTCCTCAATTGTGAAGGATTGAAGGGAGCCATTACATAGCCCTTTCTTTCCTTGCCTGTGATCAGAACCAGTTGGAAGAGATAGAGGAATCAGGCAAATGGAGTTAAAATATCCTCTTTATGACCAGTGAAGTTGGTCCTAGAAATTGTTGTTTATGTCCATGGGCAAGTGAAATTTCTAAAAGTGAATCGTAGAATCAGACAGATTTCCCCACCCAACACAGGTAGCCCTGGAGAACTGCAGGCTTCTCTTCCTATTGGTCATCCCCATGCCCTTTGACTTCTCCCCTAACACCTATAGAATGGGGAAGCAGAGCAAGATGCAAATTCATCTCCAAGAAAGCAGATAAAGAGAGGTGCTTGAGCTACACATGTCCAATTCTTGACTCCCGAATTACCAATCCAGGGAAAAGACCTGAGAGTTACTTTGAAATATGTCTCTCCATGAGGAAACAGCAGATCAGGCAATAGGAGATTTTCTCCCTCAATAAGCCCACCTGATTAGCTAGAGATGTACTATAAGGCAATGCATACTGACTCCGAGTTTTTGCTAGAAGATTCATATATATTTACTGAAAAGAGATGATCAGAATAACATGTGTTTAATCAGGGAACATCTCTGGAAGAAGAATTGGGCTCAGTTTGGTGGAGAGGAGAACACAGCTTTAAACACTGACCTGTAGGAATGGGGGGGGGGAGTTCAAGATGAGTTTGAGCTGTAGTAAAACCTAGAAGGCCTCCCCACACGATAAATACAGTAGGCTATCATGATCTGGGAGATGTGGGTTAGCGTCATCAATCCCAGGAGTCATAAATGGAATATAAAGATTAGATGGCACAGTCCCAACTGGGAAAGTTCACAGGCCTTGGGCCCAGCTGATACAGTGTGTGGGTAGCCCATAGGTGGCAACTGGGAAGGTTATGGTTCCAGGGATTCCAGCAAGATGAGGCTCCTGGGGTTAGTCCTCATGAGTCGGGTTGTGGGGGGAAAGCTCTCTGATTTCTTAACTGGTTTGATAAATTAGTGGTGTTTTCTGGTGTACTATCTGAAAAAAAATTGCTTACTTTTTTTTTAAAAGCAGAAAGAAAATGTTTTTTTTTATTTGTTTGCTTTTTGTCTTAACATCTAGAATATAAGGGAGAGCTGTGGTATGTAGGCTCAATGGGTGTGATACTTTATTTTGAGTTTTCTGTTGCTTGATTGAAAACGGTTTAAAATCCCACAGGTTCTGAGCAGGGAACTGGGACGAATCGTAGCACAGACCTTTCAGAAACAGTAGGTGATTCAAAGGCCATATTCTTCTTGATTTTAGAATGCGATGTGTGATTTTTGTATGGTGGATTTTTCTTTCAAAACACATTTTTCTTAGGGTGACATTAAAATCTGTTTGTCTTCTGGGAGTACCCAGGAACTGGCAGCTGAAAATTATGAAACAGGAAAGTCGACAGAGGATCAAAGTTATAACTATGGATGAACGTATAGATAATGAAGATTTAAGAATATATTCCCATCTGGTCTATTTGCTGCTGTTTGACTATATATTTATACTTGTTTATGCTTCCATGTGAATACGTGGCTATACCTGGTTATTGTTAAGTTGGATTGGCTAATCCTAATGTCGAGCAGAGATGTCTGTCCATGTTGTAGTATGGTATAGAGTTTGCTGTGATTGCCTTCAGAGAGACCCAGGTACCTCTTGAGGATTTATTTCCATCTCCCAAGATTCAGTGAGTTGTTTGCTGGCTATCTCAAAATAATATGTGTAAAATGCTGAACACAGTGCCTGGCATACAGGAAGCTTCTCTAATTCTTAACATGGAGAAATACTTATTGTATTTTAACTTGGAAATGGTTATAAAATAGCATGTAAAGTATTATCCCAGTATTATCTCAGTTCTGCAAAATTCAGCAAATAGTTAAGTTCTTATATCCCAGATGCTGTTAAGGACCTTGGCTATGAGATAGGGAAGAACTTTCCACTTTCTTGTGTTTCATTTAATTTTGCCTCACAGAGTTGATTGGTGTGGCTTGCTAGGGTGACCTCTATAGATAGAAAACATTTGTTTTCCCTAATTCTGTTTTAGAAGCTAGATGCTGACTTTGTATAGATATTTAGCCATAGAAACCTGATTGGGTGCCCTCTCTGAGAAGTTAGTCAGAAGTCTTGCCCACCTTCTCCTTGTGTTGATGAGGCAGTGCTTTGGAAGAGCTCATTTGTCCCTTGTTTTTGCTCAGCAATAAGGATTGGAAGTTGAAACACATTGGTTGAGTTTCCTAGAGCACTGATGTCAACACAGCCCAAAGCCACCTGGAAACCTTCCTTTTCAAGGGAACCTTTGCTGGGAGAATGATTGTGGTGATTCTCTCTTCCTTCTTCAGCATGTTATCATCTGCCCCCTTGCATTGGACCTTTTGAATTTTTATTTTGGGGAGAGATACTTAGAAATATGGCTTTTGGCCCATGGTTGATTGAGCATGTGAGTCAAATTGATGGGTGCCCAAACTGGATTTTGACACTGGGGCCCTTTAGCAATGGAAATTTGAGTTTGCAATGGTCTGCTGGATATGATTGGCAATGCCCACCCTGGCCCTTATTCTTTACTTGTCTACTGCATGGTCTAAGGTAAGTATTTAGGTACCTTAGTGACTTCCATAAGATCAGGAGGGATTTTCAACCCATTTCTAATCATTTTGCAAGGGTTAAGAGATCTACACTTAACAAAATTATTTGAACCGAAGCAAATTCCTGCCAAACAGTCACTGTGAAAGTTTTTTATTTCAGCAAGAAGAGGAATTCATGATATGATATTCCAGCACCTAAAGGAATGAAACCATTTAAGAATGAAATAGTATTTGTACCTATTCATTCCCCAGTCTTTATTCCAGAGCACCTCACATGAGAATGCAAATTACTGACCAACCTTTTGATATTTCTTTCAGGGACACCTGTGTGGTTCTTTGTGAAAATTGCTCCAATTCGAAATGAACAGGATAAAGTGGTTTTATTTCTTTGCACTTTCAGTGACATAACAGCTTTCAAACAGCCAATTGAGGATGATTCATGTAAAGGTTTGTAATTCTGATTTGTACAAATACATTTATGTGGGTTTTTTTTTGTTGTTGTTGTTGTTTCCTGTGGTGTGACTCCCATTCCAGAGAATTTGAGGTTGCCAAGGCAATCTCTACACAAAGATCAAGATTTAAACTTTAATTTGTGTTGGGTAAAGCATTGTATCATTCTGGAATGTATTAAGGGGTCAAAGGGGAGGGGAAAAAGCTTTGTTTAGGAAACCATTTGAACTCAATTTTATACCTTTTTAGAGTAACCCTTTCCAGTAATGATTAGACAGAAGAAGGTAGTTGGGCACCTTTGGTATCAACAGAATCTTTTCTAGTGTCCCCATGACAGATGGGGGTCACCCAAATGAGTTAGTTCATGGCCACATTCATCGTATTTGTATATAGACTTTGTTAGGTTTGACTGAGGTCTTGCATTTCAAGATTGTTGCAGTTGATTTTAACACAGCTCTACCTCTGTGGTTGTTAGGTCTACAGCTGGTGAATTCATTGGAAACATGGTATTAATGAGGCCATGGTCTTGAGTAACATTTCCATTTGGGTCATTTAATCAGCTTGGGACCACAGATTTTAGCACTCACTTCAGCCATGTATCATGTGCATGTATTCTCTGAATCACACTGCGGGCCAGTGAAGGAAAGGACTCAGGATTTCTAGAACAACTGTACTCTTGAAGAGGTCAAGGTAATCAGATATACAATAGATGGCATGCTATCCTCAGAGGTTTGGGATTAGGGGGTGTCACAGCACTCTCTTCCATCCCCCTTCCATTGGGTGCATGCAAGATAACCGAGAGGCCATAGCTCTTTCTTGTTGCAGTGCTTCTTGGCTCTGTGGTTGATTTTCTAGCTCTCTCTGAGAACTCTGCTCCTTGCCGTTTCCTGAGATGCAGCAGAGAGATGGGAGTAGAGTCCAGGGAAAAGTCAAATTGGGGAGTATTCTTGATATGATAAAATTGCGATTGTTAAATGTATCTTATAGGAGGAAATAAAAAGCATCATGGTCTTTTCATTTTGTGACTTTTCTCTGGGGGTGTGTCCTCTAGCACATTTGGATGCTCACATTTATAAGTTCAGAGCACAATGCTGTATATACCAGTGCATCGTATTATTTTTCTTTTTTTAATTATCTGATAACCCAGTAAATCAATTTCAGCCTGCCTTTTGGTTTCAAGACTACAGCAGATGTAAAGTTTCTCAACCAGTGCCTCAGCTCCTGCAGTCTCCTCTTTTTCCTGCAGGTCTGTGACTCCCTGATTTCTGGTTTCTGACTTGAGGATTTCTCAGCGCAATAGTGATTACACGGTGATAGACTCACTCATGATTAAGTATCATCCTGCTATCATCCAGAAAGGCCATTTGCTTTTTTAACTGAATAAACTCATAAAATATTAAAGGCAGTCAGATATTTTGACATTTGCTTTTGTAAGTTTTGTCTTAAAAACGTAAATAGTCAGAATGTTGGTTGAGTCAGACTGTTTGCCTTTTACCATCACTGGAATATTTTTGGGTGACATGCAAGTATTTAGTAGGAGAGGCATACTCAACAGAGAGAGTGCCTCACATTGCCACGTAGGTATATGCATTTGGCTCTCAAGAAGTGTAACACAAGAGATAAATCAGAGCGATGCAGTGAGATTCGCCTAGCTGTTTATTTTCCAGGAAAAAAAAAAGTCCTACTTCATTTAACCTGACTCAATGATGCATTTCCTTGCTGATGAGAGTTTTGGTACACACACACACCACACACACATATACACACGTCGCACACCCGCACACTTCAGTGTTCCCTGTAGGAATGCTGCTAAGTGATCATGCTTAGTGTCTTCTCCAAGACATGACTGTATAAGCCTGTCCCTTTCAGATGCCATGACAGATATGTCTGGACCCTCCCACTTGTTATGTCACTGTGCCCCGGCCTACTTTGATTTGGTAGTCTACTTAGGACAAGGTCAGATTTTATATCACTCTGTTTATGATGGAAGAGCATGATAGTTCTCCAGGCCTTTTTAGTTGTAAGTCTATAAACTGTGGTTCTGGCTGCAAGGATCAAATCCAGGAAGATACATTGCCACGTGGCTGGAATGTTCTCCTGACTTGACATTTCTTCTTGGATGTGTTGTCACAGTGGGAGATCCTGGCAAATACAGCTGGGTTTTCAGTACAGCACCTCACTCAGCAGTACGAGTCTTGTGACCCAGGCTTATTTAGGATTCACTTTTGAGATGGAATTATCTGAAGACCCCAGAAATCCGCGGATAATTGTTCTTTGGCAGAGCAGCACAAGGTGTTTCCCACCATCAAATTCGTCCTTTGTTTTAGTCAGCTGTGCTCAAATTGTCTTTAAAATGACATTGTTTTCCTTGCTCGTGCAGTGCCTGACTCTGGGCCTTGGGACTGGGGTAAGTGCCTCCAGGAAGTGATACGAGAAGCCAGTTGGCGCCTCAGATTTTCCCACAAACACTCTGCAAGTGGTAAACACATGGGATAATCTGCAGTCCACTATTTTAGCATCTGACACAAAGTAACTCCCCTTTGGCAGGTGATTGGACGGCCCTGAGGCCCCTCTTACATTTAGTGTATTGGTTCTCAAGCTCCTTTTTAGGAATGATCCAGGCCCCTGACTCCCTCATCCTCTCCTTTCTGTCTTTTGACTTCTTTCTTAGCTCTCTGACAAAAGGTGTCCACAGATGGTGTGGACCAGGCAATGCAAGTCAAGCTAGATTTGCAGTTTGGTAGCAGCTCTGGGTGTATGCATGCGTGTGTGCATGCGTGTGTGTGTGCGCATGCGTGTCTGTGTGTGTGTGTGTGTCTGAAGTCAGAATGAGAGAGTAGCTGGGAATTCTTGGTTGAAATGAGACTCTGTGATGTTTCAGGGGTTTCCTTTGTTTCTAATCTCTTACTTGTCTGTTATTATGGATAATTGGTAGTGGCTACAGGATATTTTTCTCTGTCTTGTTCTCCCTTTTGAGCTAGGAGGCCTGGACAAATGGGTAGAGAATTAGATGGTAAGGCCCAGAGTTGCTCTCTACCTTGTTTCCTAAAGGATGAGGATGAGTCATCCCTCTTGTTTTGTCTCTTACCCTACCAAATAATCTCACATTGAAGGAGTGAATTCATTTTCAAAACTTGAGCCAGATTCTGATAACAAAAGGAATGTAGAACCTCAGAGGAGATTTTTAAAGTGAGGGATTGAGAATATGCAGGGATAAGGGCTCTGGCAAGCCGTTGTAACTGCAGACCCTTCTCCAAATGTCTTCCTGTGTGATATTTGCGAGGCACTCTCGGGAAAGAAACCAAGCAGTGGATACAAGCCACAGGTCCCCTCTTGTCCCCTGGATATTGACTTTTATCTCTCTACTGTTAGGATAATGGAAAGGTGATGATTTCGTGACTGCTCCTTGAAGCAGCCACTCTAGAGTTTTGGTTATTTCTACAGTGACAGGGAAAAGACCAGAGGAGGAAGACTTGAGGATGCTTAGGCAGTGTCCACACTGACTGTCCATCTCGGTCATCAGTGTCCTTTATTCTCTTGTGTATGTTGGGTTATGGCACCAGCTCCTCTAAGAGAATCTGTGACTGCAGATTAGGACAAGCTGGCCTCACAGCCTCCCTACAAGGTCAGGACACCTTACAGCCATCCTCTGCAACTTCTACTCAAAGTGACGTGGCATGATTTCCCAGAGCAGGGACCATAGGTTTGTCTTTTCTCCTATCCCTGGACTTATCCTTGGAGGAGCTGGAATTTCATCTCAACCCAGGATCCTCTTCTGACCTAGGGAGGATACAGGGTTATGTGGGCTAAAGTAGCCTGGGGAGGGGGGCGTTGCCCCGGTTGAAGCCAGCAGCTGTTGTGTGGTCAAGGAAAGGGGAAGTGATTGTCCTTACTGAGAATGGAGAAGGGATCCAGCGAGTACTGTTTAGCCGACTGCTGGATTGCACGTTGTGTTTCCTTCCTTCTGGCCTTCTCCTTTCATGCCTCCTCTTCCCTTCCTGTCCAACCCCTCTCACTCCAAAGATACCCAGTACATGCGTGTTAGCTGAACAGAGAGAAGTCTGCCTAAGGCCAAGGGGAGCATACAGAAGAGGTAGCGGACAGTTTTGCTGGTGATAGGGCAATACCTGGGAAACGCTCCCTCGGAGGAGGAGCTGCTTTATTTTCCTTGTGGAAAAGGTCCACTGGGCTTCCCCTAAGGCATATCATCCTGAGCTAGGTTCTCATTGGGTTGTGTCCTCCCATTTGGCCTTTTGGACAAAAGAAGATTCATTGTTTCCAGGAGTGTTTCTCCTAATGGCTCGGGTCCACATTGTACCTGTTATCTTCCACCACATACATTTGCTTCTCTTATGTGTGTGTGTGTTTTTTCTTTTATTTATTTATGATAGTCACAGAGAGAGAGAGAGAGAGAGAGAGAGAGGCAGAGACACAGGCAGAGGGAGAAGCAGGCTCCATGCACCGGGAGCCCGACGTGGGATTCGATCCCGGGTCTCCAGGATCGCGCCCTGGGCCAAAGGCAGGCGCCAAACCGCTGCGCCACCCAGGGATCCCTTATGTGTTTTTAATCTCATTGGTGGCCGTTACCCCAGTCCCCCAAACCTGGAACCCAGAGGCCACCTGGATGCCTTGTCTCTCTTTCTACAGCTGCTGTTCACCGAGTTCTGTGGATCCTACCTCTGTAGTTGTTCTCCAGCTCTCATCACCTGGCTCAGGCCACAGTACTATCTAGGCGTGCAGGATCTCTTGCCTGGGGTCCTGACTGATCTTTTATCTGTCGACCTTGTTTTTTAAAATTGACCACGCACATTACCATTCTGTCTTTTTTTTTTTAAAGATTTTATTTATTTATTCATGAGAGACACAGCGAGGCAGAGACATAGGCAGAGGGAGAAGCAGGCTCCATGCAGGGAGCCCGATGTGGGACTCGATCCTGGGACTCCAGGATCATGCCTTGGGCTGAAGGCAGGTGCTAAACCACTGAGCCACCCAAGGATCCCCCCATTCTGTCTTTCTAAAATGAAATCAATGTGTTTCCTCCTCCTCATGCCTATTTAAACTCCTCCCTGGTTCCCCGTGGGTTTCAGGATGAAGTTCAAATTTCTTGCAATCTCGGTTCTTACCACCAAAGTTCTTCTCCATCTGGCACCTGGCAACGACTGTAACATCACTTCAGGCTATGGTCTACATCCTCCTCCCCTCTACCAGCTGCGCCTCACTCATCCAGCCATTTAGGGTATCTTACTCTTTATTGACATATTACCCTGTTTTATGATTTTTGCCTTTGTGGGTGCTGTTCCTTCTGTGTACAATGTCTATCTTTTCCTTCTTGTGTTTTTGACTCCTACTCATCTTTCAAAATTTTGCTCTAGTATATGACCTCCTCTGGGACGCTCTCCCTGAATCCCTACCCTGGATTAGCTTACCCTCCCCCCTTTTATTAGCTTGCCTTCTTTGGACAGCCTTGACTCCTAGCATCCTATATTCATGTCTGTCACATAACTTAGCTCATTATGTCATGGCTTTTAAAATTTATCTGTCAATCTTCCCTACTGGGATGCATGCTTTTTGAAGCCAGAGTCTGTGTCTTATTTATCTCAGTATCTCCAGTACCTAGTGCAATGCTTGGCGTGTAGTAATTATGTTTATAGAGTTAATACATGAATGAAGTTTTTTCATCTGGCCAGGTAATGGTTCCTATTAGAAAGTATTTCCTTCCTACAGAAGACACAGAGCTTGTTCCTCCCGGTAGAGGTGTGATGGAGAATTTCACACTGCCTGTCCATTTTCCCATCTAGGGCCCACTCATCTTCCCATGCCTTCCACTCAGGCAGCTCCTTTGACAGCCACATTCTTGGAAAGGTTTCAGGGCTAGTCCAGAGAGTAAGAGGCTAGTCTGAGCCTGGGGAAATGCCCAGAGGTCCAGGGATCTTTCTTTTCATCCCTTGTGTTAGATCAGCTTTGGACCAGGACCCTGAACTCCCTGCTGGGCAGGTTCTGTGACCTTCCTCTTATCATTTGTCTCAGGGTGTGGATCTTGGTGGTGGTAGTAGTGGTGGTAGCCAAGGGGTGGGTTGGATCAGGGGGTTGCAGAACCTTGTTGGTGTTTGCATGCATGGCTATGTTTTACCTGATTGAAAAATACCCTTTTTGTTCTTGAACAGCTCTGTAGAACTCAGTTCCAGTTTTGTTTTGAGCTGAAAGAGAGCCTAACTCTGAAAGAGACTTTAGAAATTTCTAGCCCGCAATTCACAAAAGCAGATTTCAGTGAGCATCTTCATAAATGGCACATTTGGGGGAGATGTCAAAGACCCCTGTAGAGTCTGGACTGTCTCTTCCTGTTAACATTAATGCGACCCCTACCATCTGATGATCACCATGTACCTCTTTTCAAGCTGATTCTGTTGGTCTGCTTAATGGCATCAGGATGGATGAAAATGCCACTATCTTTTATTAAAGCCTAGAACTTCTGGAATGAGATAATAAATAACCGATTTGCTATTCTTGCTATGTTGACAAAAATTTATTCAGATCATGATTCTTAAAGGTTGTGCAAGAAGAGGGCCATTTGGCTGCTTAAGTTCATTGTCCTCTGGATTCCAAGTCTGTCTTGGAAAAGGTGCTCCAGGGTAAAATTTGGCAGAAGAGATGTCTGCTGCAAGATGTTGGATACTGCTAAACACGAAAGGACCACAAAAACAAACAAAACAAACAAACACAACCAAAAAATAAATCTTCTAGTCTTGCTTTTAACTGTCATCTTAGAAGAGTCGGATGCTCTATCATGTGAAAGGAGTCGGATGCTCTGTTTACTTAGACCCCACAGCTAAGTCTTTGGAGCCCCAAAGACTCTCAAGCTTGGGCCTGAGAACCCTGACAGGTGTTCAGGAGTCTCACGAGGCAATTGCCATAGTCATAACTTTGATGCAGATAGGTTGGGTTGTTGGGCGTTGGAAAGGACAGTTGTCTTTGGGGACCTTTAAATGCAGTAAAGATCACTCATATGTCTTCTGCAGTGCAGATGGGGCTGGATTGGAAAAGGACCAGCATTTTACTTTTCCTGGAGGAGCTAGTCCAGGGCGCCAAGGAGGCCTCCAGACAGCCTCTGTTTTAGTCTACTAACCGGAGCCCACTAAATCTAGCCTTGTTGTCTTACCAGGCAAGTGTACCGTACCTTTAGGCACCTAGAGTATTTTAATCTCCACTTTACAGATAAGGCTTAAACAACATAAAAGACTTGTTGGGGATCACAAAGCAAGCTGGAGGCAGAGATCGGACTGTGAGGAGATTTCTTTGTTCCAGGTTCAGTACCAGGCTCTTTGGGATTCTTGGTACTTGGGGAACCTGTTATAAACCATCCTTCCCCCCATCCCAGAGCAGACTAAAATATGCCCATGCTTTCCCCCACCTGCCCAGGGATTAGATCCATTTCTCATTCCCCTGGCTTTGGAGAATGTAGTGCATGGAATGGCCATTTAACTAGCTTGTCCATGCAACCCATGGAACCAGGCTGGTCTCTACATCAGACTCTGTGGGGGTTGGGAACATCCTGAGCCCAGTCACAAAGTCAGAGAAATATCTTGACTGCCTGGTATTATCTGGCAGGAAAGCTTTGGGCCAGAGTGGAAAGATCTGGGTTCTGGACTCTTTGTAGTTCTCTAGGCACTCTGCCTCTGTTTCCTTATTTGTAAAACAGTACTGAGACCTGCCCTACGTATGTCACAAAACTATGACTAGGACAGAGTGAAAGTGCAGGGAAAACTAAATTGCTACACAAATTTGAGTGTGTCTCGGTGCTTTTCTGAGCAGCAAGTCTGGACTGGGAGGAATGCCGAGTGACTCACAGGAGCCCAGGAGGACAATGGGTGTATGTACTTCGACAGTGTAACTGGTGGTGTGAATGTCCATTACCTTCAGGATATGATTGAAACTGTCTCTTCTCTCCTCTGCATGCTCTAGGCTGGGGGAAGTTTGCTCGGCTGACTAGAGCACTGACAAGCAGCAGGGGTGTCCTGCAGCAGCTGGCTCCCAGTGTGCAAAAAGGCGAGAATGTCCACAAGCACTCCCGCCTGGCTGAGGTAAGGGTGACGGGCTAGCTCCTCTTAAACCTCACTTCTCTGGGGTGCAGGGCTGAGAAAATGCTACAAAGCAAGGGTGTGGTTTGGAAGGGACCTTCAGGACCCTCATACTCCTGTCTTGGCTGGGCTAAGCACCATGACATGTGACTTTGGGAAAATGACCTAACTCCTTTGAGCTTTGTGCTTTTCTGGATGTAAAAGGGGCCTGCAGACAGCACTGTTCCAGCTTATTGAGGTGATAAGTGTCAATTCACTTTCTTGAGGGAGTAGAGAAGAGGCTAGAAGTCCCATATCCACAAAGGGGTTTATACTTATAAACCATAAACAATTTTTTTAAATTTAAATTCAATTTGCTAACATACAGTATAACACCCACTGCTCATCCCATCAAGTGACCTCCTTAGTGTCCGTCACCAATCCCCCCACCCACCTCCCCTTCCGCAACCCTTTTTTTGTTTCCCAGAGTTAGGAGCCTCTCATGGTTTTTCTCCCTCTCTAATTTTTCCCTACTCAGTTTCCCTCCTTTCCTTTAGAATCCATTTCACTATTTCTTATATTCCATGTATGAGTGAAACCATATGATGATTGTCCTTCTCTGATTGACTTATTTCACTCAGCATAATACCCTGCAGTTCCAATGGTAGGTATTCATCCTTTCTGATGGCTGAATAACATTCCATTGTATATAGAGATCACATCTTCTTTATCCATTCATCTGTTGAAGGACATCAAGGCTCCTTCCACAGTTTGGCTATTGTGGACATTGCTGCTATAAACTTTGGGGTGCAGATGTCCTGGTGTTTCACTACATCTATCTTTGGGGTAAATACCCAGTAGTGCAATTGCTGGGTCATAAGGTAGCTCTATTTTTAACTTCTTGAGGAACCTCCACACTGTTTTCCAGAGTGGCTGCACCAGTTTGCATTCCCACCAACAGTGCAAGAGGGTTCCCTTTTCTCCACATCCTTTCCAACATTTGTTGTTTCCTGTCTTGTTAATTTTAGCCATTCTCACTGGTGTGAGGTGGTATCTCATTGTGGTTTTGATTTGTATTTCCCTGATGGCCAGTGATGTGGAGCATTTTTTCATGTGCTCATTGGCCATATGTAGGTCTTCTTTGGAGAAATGTCTGTTCATGTCTTCTGTCCATTTCATGACTGGATTGTTTGTTTCTTGGGTGTTGAGTTTGATAAGTTCTTTATAGATCTTGGACACTTGCCCTTTATCTGATACATCATTTACAAATGTCTTCTCCCATTCTGTTGGTTGTCTTTTAGTTTTGTTTCCTTCACTGTGCAGAAGGTTTTTTATCTTGATGAAGCCCCAGTAGTTCATTTTTGCTTTTGTTTCCCTTACCTTCATAGATGTGTCTAGCAAGAAGTTGCTGTAGCCAAGTTCCCAAAGGTTGTTGCCCGTGGTCTCCTCTAGTATTTTGATGGATTCTTGTCTCACATTTAGATCTTTCAACTATTTTGAGCTTATCTTTGTGTTTGGTATAAGAGATTGGTCCAGTTTCATTCTTCTGCATGTGGCTGTCCAGTTTTCCCAATACCATTTACTGAAGAGACTGTCCTTTTTCCAGTGGATCTTCTTTCCTGCTTTGTCAAAGATGAGTTGACCATAGAAGTGAAGGTCCATTTCTGGGTTGTCTATTCTGTTCCATTGATCTATGTGTTGGTTTTTGCGCCAGTATCATACTGTCTTGATGATCACAACTTTGTAATACAGCTTGAAATCAGGCATTGTGATGCCCCCAGCGTTGGTTTCCTTGTTCGATAATCCTCTATTTGGGTTTTTTTTCTGATTCTATACAAATCTTTTTTTTTTTTATTCTATACAAATCTTAAGATTATTTGTTCCAACTCTGTGAAGGAAGTCCATGGTATTTTGGTAGGGATTGCATTGAACATGTAAATTGCTCTAGGTGGCATAGACATTTTCAAAATATTTATTCTTCCAGTTCATGAGCATGGAATGTTTTTCCATCTCTTTACATCTTCCTCAATTTCTTTCAGAAGTGTTCTGTAGTTTTTAGGGTATAGATCCTTTACCTCTTTAGTTAGGTTTATTCCTAGGTATCATATGGCTTTGGGTGCAGTTGTTAATGCAATTAATTCCTTAATTTCTCTTTCTTCAGTCTCACTGATAGTGTATAGAAATGCCACTGATTTCTGGGCATTTATTTTGTATCCTGCCACATAGCCGAACTGCTGTATGAGTTCTAGCAATTTTGGGGTGAAGTCTTTTGGGTTTTCTATATACAATATCATGTCATCTGCAAAGAGGGAGAGTTTGACTTCTTCTTTGCCAATTTGAATGCCTTTTATTTCTTTTTGTTGTCTGATTGCTGAGACTAGGAATTCTAGTACTATGTTGAATAACAGTGGTGAGAGCGGACATCCTTGTTGTGTTCCTGATCTTAGGGGAAAAGATTTCAGTTTTTCCCCATTGAGAATGATATTTGTTGTGGGCTTTTCATAAATGGCTTTTAAGATATTGAGAAATGTTCCCTCTATCCATACACTGTGTAGAGTTTTGGTCAGGAATGGATGCTGTATTTTGTCAAATGCTATCTCTGCATCTATTGAGATCATATGGTTCTTGTTTTTTCTCTTATTGATGCGATCTATCATGTTGATTGTTTTAGGAATGTTGAACCACCCTTGCATCCTGGGGATAAATACTATTTGGTCATGGTGAATAATCCTCTTAATGTACTGTTGGATCCTATTGGCTAGTATCTGGGTGAGAATTTTTGCAACCATGTTCATCAGGGATATTGGTCCATAATTCTCCTTTTTGATGGGGTCTTTGTCTGGTTTTGGGATCAAGGTAATGCTGGCTTCATAGAAAGAGTTAGGAAGTATTCCATCTTTTTACATCCTTTGAAATAGCTTTAGTAGAACAGGTATTATTTCTTCTTTAAATGTTTGTTAGAATTCCCCTGGGAAGCCATCTGGCCCTGGACTTTTGTGTCTTGGGAGGTTTTTGATGACTGCTTCAATTTCCTCACTGTTTATTGGCCTGTTCAGGTTTTCTCTGTCTTCCTGTTCCAGTTTTGGTAATTTGTAGGTTTCCAGAAATGCATCCATTTCTTCTACATTGCCTAATTTGTTGGCATAAAGCTGCGCATAATACGTTTTTTAAAATCGTTTGTATTTCCTTGGTATTGGTTGTGATCTCTGTTCTTTCTTTTTTTTTAATTTTTTTTGTTCTTTCATTCATGGTTTTATTAATTTGAGTCTTTTTTCTTTTTAATAAGGCTGGCTAGGAGTTTATCTATCTTACTAATTCTTTCAAAGAACCAGCTCCTGATTTTGTTGATCTGTTCTACAGTTCTTCTGGTCTCTATTTCATTGAGTTCTGCTCTAATCTTTATTATATCTCTTCTTCAACTTGGTTTAGGCTTTATTTGCTGTTCTTTCTCCAATTCCTTTAGATGTGAGGTTAGATTGCATATATGAGTTTTCCAATTTATTTTTTTTAAGATTTTATTTATTTATTCATGAGAGAGAGAGAGAGAGAGAGAGAGAGAGGCAGAGACACAGGCAGAGGGAGAAGCAGGCTCCATGCAGGGAGCCCGATGTGGGATTCGATCCCAGGGCTCCAGGATCATGCCCTGGGTGGAAGGCAGGTGCTAAACCACTGAGCCACCCAGGAATCCCCAAGTTTTTTCCAAATTTTTGAGGAAGGCTTGTATTACAATGTGTTTCCTTCTTAAGACTGATTTTGCTGTATCACAAAGATTTTGAACTGTTGTATTTTCATTTTCATTAATTTCCATGAATCTTTTTAATTATTCTCTAATTTCCTGGTTGACCTATTCATCTTTTAGTAGGATGCTCCTTAACCTCCATGTGTTTGAGTTTCTTCCAAATTTCTTCTTGTGATTGAATTCTAGTTTCAAAGCATTGCGGCCTGAAAATATGCAGGGGACAATCCCAATCTTTTGGTATCAGTTGAAACCTGATTTGTGACCCAGTATGTGGTCTATTCTGGAGAAAGTTCTGTGTGCACTTGAGAAGAATGTGTATTCAGTTGCATTAGGATGGAAAGTTCTGTATATATCTGTGAAATCTATTCAGTCCAGTGTATCATTCAAGGCCCTTGTTTCTTTGGTGATGTTCTGCTTAGAATATCTGTCTTTTTTTTTTTTAAGAATATCTGTCTTTTGCTAAGAGTGCTGTGTTGAAGCCTCCTACTATTAATATATTATTATCTATGTATCTCTTTACTTTGGTTATTAATTCATTGATATATTTGACTGCTCCCAAATTAGGGGCATAAATATTCATAATTGTTAGGTCTTCTTGTTGGATAGACCCTTTAAGTATGATAGAGTGTCCCTCTTCATCTCTTATTACATTCTTTTGTATAAACTCTAATTTATCTAATATGAAGATTGCTACCTCAGCTTTCTTTTGAGGATCATTTGAATGGCAAATGGTTCTCCACCCCTTCATTTTCAGTCTGGAGGTGTCTTTATATCCAAAATGAGTCTCTTGTAGACAACATATAGATGGGTCTTGCTTTTTTATCCAGTCCATTACCCTGTGTCTTTTGATGGGATCATTTAGCCCATTCACGTTCAGAGTAACTATTGAAAGATATGAATAGTGTCATCGTATTACCTATACAGTTCCTGTTTTTGTGGATTGTTTCTTTGGGCTCCCTCTTTCTTTTACAGGGTCCCTCTTAATATTTCTTGCAGAGCTAGTTTGGTGGTCTCATATTCTTTCAGTTTCTGTCTATTCTGGAAGCTCTTTATGTCTCCTTCTATTATGAATGACAGCCTTGCTGGATAAAGTATTCTTGGCTGCATTTTTTTCTCATTTAGTACCCTTTATATATCATGCCAGCCCTTTCTGGCCTGCCAGGTCTCTGTGGATAGGTCTGTTGTTAATCTGATATTTCTCCCCACATAAGTTAAGTATCTCTTTTCCTGAGCTGCTTTAAGAATTTTCTCTTTATCTTTGAAATTTGCAAGTTTCACTATTAAA